TATTAAAGCAATGACTAAACTATAAAATATATTTGAGATAATTATGTCTTCTCCCTATGAACTCCATGCAAGCATGACATGTTTTCAAACCTGTCGTGCTATACAATAAACCCTAGAGGCTACGTGGCTGTGGTTTCTCTTATACACGGGCAATTAAAGGTTAGTTTTAGAAATTAGTAGTAATGTGACACAGTTGGAACTGTCATTCCTTAAGCTGCCCGCAAAAGCCAGGCTTACAGCTGATAAAGCCAAGCATCAAGTGAACACATCGGTTTATATTCACTGAGATTGTAAGATTTTCTGTGCACATTAAGGGAGCAATGCTGCTGCGCTGAGGGTAAACCTGTAGCATGGAGGTTTCACTTGGCCTGTTTCAGGTCCAGCAAAGTATTTAATACCCTTTATGTATTTTAGTTGAAGAAACCCATATTGAGGAAATCTTTTGATAATTTGAAGTGTTCTGGTTTTGCATTTGTAGGCAAATGCAAATGAATGTACCATTTCCTATGAAGGTGCTGTGCTATCCCAAGCTCATACCATGCAAAGAGACAAATCATGTAGTGAATACTGAAAAGTGAAGTAAGCTTTTACTTTTACAGAAAAATTTTAAAAATCCAGATGTATTAGAAATAAAACAAAAAATCCTCTATGTATCTGATCACTAGGCTCTGTTACCAAAGAGGAATAATGGCTCACAAGCAACACACCAACACACTTGGGGGTCAAATTCACAATGAAGCCAGACGTGTACAGGTAATGCTTAACCAAGCACAGACGTTATTTTTGGTATCGTTTTCAAGGACTGATCCTTGGTAAAGCATGAGCTTCATGTTGTATGACATGGAATATATGATTAACAGCAGAGCAAAAGACACACTTCTGCAAACGGGTGAGCAGTGACATTCCTGGAACAACCCTCATCATCTCAGTGCCTACTGACATCAATATTCCCATCTTTTAAAGGAAGAAATTTACCTCACTCCCTAGTATTTAACTAGGCTCCTTTATTTACCTCCTTTTTGTGTAAGTCTCTGTTTATGAAGGTCATTACCCATCCTGAATTCTAACCCCAGGAAGAGCTTACCATCCAGACCAGGCAGAACAGTGCTCCTCATGGCCAGCACCAAACCAAGTGGCGACCCAAAGAGGAAGAAATCAGACACTTCAAATTCAAATCGGCCCAGGTTTACTTCTGAGAGACTGGAATCCACAGGAGGAAGGTCTGCATCATCTTTCAACACACTTGAGTGGATGCTGAGCAAAGAAAACGTACTGAATCAACAACAATAATGAAGAGGGCATTCCCAAAACAGGCTACTTAAAAAGTTCTAGCACCCGTATTTAGATCCAAGCAACACACTTTGAAACTGCAGACTGATATTGCACCATAGCAACCATTTACCACGATTTTCAGTGCGGCTGTTCAGTAAATGTACTACTTGCAACATGCAAGAGTTTTCTACAGTTCTTATACAGAATACTTACTGGTAAGTTATGCAAGGACTATGAAGATTTAAGTTTACCTCCTGTCTCTTTTAGCAGTACAGATGTATGTTAGTTTATTCTGACTCTTCTGCTACATATTTTAACCTACTCCTACTGTGTAAGGACAATGGTATTAGAAGGTTACAGTCAAAGTATGTTACTTGGGTGCATAAAACGCATTGTCCCAATCTGTTCCCTGACCTATGACTTAGAATTTCACTACTTTTCAACTATTTGTTACAGGTTAAAATCAGTGATGCTTACAGACAGCTTTTAAAATTATTTAAACACTTCTATTTACTTTGTATGCCATACATCCATGAGGTAACTATAGACCACTTATCCCTCACTGACAGAGAAAGGACTCTGCCATAATTTAGTTCTGCTGGAGATGAAATACCTACATTCAGAAGCAGAAAAGTAGTCTGAACACCTGCTGCCCAGCCATGTGACAGAGCAGAACATGCCCCCAGAGCATGGAGAGCCTGACTGAGAGACACTGACCATGCTGACTTCAATCAGAACTGTAAGTGAAGCACTCGGGAGTTATGTGCACCCTACACACTGTATATCTATGGCCAAGCATGGATCAGAATCAAGAAATTCTGAAGACTGATCTCAAATCAGGCCAAACCTTCTTTCAGTCTGAGAACCTAGTGACATTCTCAATTTATAACCCAGTGTTATCAACTGTAACCCTGGGGACCAAACTTAGGCCTTCATTTAATGCAGAAGTGAAGAAAGCCAAGAACTAAATCCATCAGCATGGCAGTTTGTAGTTACCTCTCTATGCCATAAGCACTCAGACAAAGAGCACAAACTGAGACACTGAACCACGATTGCAATGTGTAAGGCAACAACATTCCTTTAAAAGAATGATCTCTGTAATGATCAACCGAAAAAAATGAAAGAGTGATCTCTGTAACCTCATCACTGATATGCCTCTGCTAAACTGCAGTAAATGAGATCATGGGGAAAAAGGTCTCAGTAATCTTAAGCAAGTTCCACAGACAGGAAAGCCAAGGCTTGGAGCCTCTCTTTATGTACAGCGTGGGTCAGAGGATGATGCAGTTTCATTTCATTTGGTTTTTTCACCCTCTTTACCTTACCAAGGAATATTTTCTGATGTCTTTAGCCTATGCTTGTCCAACTGTTCCTCAACAACTTAGCAACAGCCTGAAGTTTGACTCCAAAATGGGAATGGAAGGTAACACTTCCATCTGCTTGTTTAAGTATAGCTCATGTACAGTTTTCAGTTTAAAATCACAGACACACAGGAAATTAAAGACTTGGAAAAAACTGTTATCTTTGTCCTTCCATTGTCCTATTATTTTTCAAGTCTAAAGTGCTTTATACAAGTCAACACTGTGCTTTAAATATAACACAGTACTTCTGCTATACAAGAACCTAACAGTGACTGACCAAAAAAACCTTCATGTTTTCAGCCACAGACAAATGAAAAACCACCATTGTGCCTCAGAGGGAAAACACTTTACAACACAAGAATAACCAGAAAATGCAATGGTTTGAAAATAAAAGCAGAGTAATCAACAAAAACAAAGGAAAGGGCATTCAGTCAAAGCAAGAATATAAAACTACATTAAACTGCTACTAAAAAACCTGACAGACTTGAAATAAAGCACAGTAGGAAGTCTGCACTATACTCTAGCAGGACTGAAACTCAACACACAGTAAGACTTCTCCTTCTGCATCACTCACAATGAAATAAAGGAAATAAGATGATGGATAGAGGATGCAAAAGCCCAAATAAGAGGTAAAAAACCCAAACAGCTTAGAACAGGCAGAAACAACGAGACAAAGGAAATGCTTATGTTCCCATCAAATCTGCAACTCAGAGCTTTCTTAAGATCATGGAAAGCTAATTAAGTTAACGCTCCTTCCCTAACCTCCTCCTAATTTAAGCCAAATGTTTATGCAGGGCTTTTTTGTTGTTGTTTTAAAGCTGATCTGAATAGCTCATAGACCAAGAGGAGCACCTAAAGCAATTATCTCACTCTTTACAGAATAACAAAAATCCTGAAAATGAAGTCAGAGGGATCTTTAGACAAAAAGAGGTAACAGAAATTTACGCTTATAAAGTATTCATCCATCTTGATTTGAGTGAGCTGCATTGAAGAAGTAGAACTTTGTGCATTCATTTTTGCATATTCAATACTCTTACAACTGAATAAAGATTAAATAAAAAACACTCCATATGTGAATAAGTTCATACTACACCCACTAAATCCATGGGGTTTTCTGAAGGGTAGACAAGGACTTCAAGCAAACATCCAGAAACACACCACAAACAGCAACAATGACTGTGCTCTGGTGCTGACAGGCTCCATTCAATGGCAAGGCTGTTTCTTTTACTCAGTCATTGAACATCAGTTACCTAGACAGGAGAGCATGATGCTGGGCTATAGCATCACAGTCATAGGTGGAGGAGTCACTTTGTTTCTGAGGCAACGGCTGCCTTGGCTCCTCATCCTCCATGATTCCCGAGATGTCAATACTGCTTTTGCTCACGTGTTTGCTGTCACCCAGACTGGAGTCCTCTGTTAAGAGGGTATTATCCTTCAGAAAATGAACAGAGCAAAAGGAGGATTTAGACAAGACACCAAAATATGACAGAGCTTATATGAAATGGCTGCATTTATACATTTGACCTCACTTTATTCAAGAAAGGGTGGAAAGGGTTAGATTTCCTCTTTGCAGTAGAAGGGAAGAGATGAAGACTAAATTTCACTGTAAGATGCATAGCCTAAAAGCTGGAAGGAGAATCAGGAATTTGAGGGGGGAGTCACAAGGGGCAGAAAGGAGGATTAACACAAGAGCTTTATCCTTCATGACTTTATCATTCTTAATATCATAAGGTAATCAGAAGAGGTCTTAACTAAGTGCACAAAATGCCCACTACAACATTAATGCTCTTGTTCATCATGTTCCATGGATGTGGGGCCTGATTTTTAAGAATGCTAGCTTCTACAGGATGCAAAAGGAGACCAGTGGCATCATATCTTCAAGGTTATTAATTTCTTTATTGTTCATTTCCTCCAGCACTTCTGCAGCTTGCACCAGCATCCTCCCCGATATATCCCTCTTACTTCCAGACTTTTATTCCGGTGTCCATTTCAACAGCCCATGCAAATGATGCTTTTCAAAACAAATGCCACTGGACTGACCCTCCCCCATCCATGCACAAGATCTCCTTGCACAAGGCATAGCAAGATCTGGTTCTTTACAACAGCTGTGCATACAGCCTGGGGTACGAGAGGCTGGAGAGCAGCCCTGTGGGAAGGGACCTGGGGGTCCTGGTAAATGGCAAGTGGAATATAAGTCAGCAGTGCCCTGGCAGCCAAGAGGGCCAACTGTGTTCTGGGGGCATCAGGTCCAGCATCGCCGGCCAGGCCAGGGAGGGGATTGTCCTGCTCTGCTCTGATCTAGGGCAGCCTCACGTGCAATATTGGGGCAGTTTTGGTCACCACAATATAAGAAAGATATTGAGCCATTAGACAGTGTTCAGAGGAGGGCAATGAAGATGGTGAAGAGCCTTGAGAGGAATCCAAGGAGTAGCTGAGGTCACTTGGTCTGGAGAAGAGGGGACTGGGGGAGACCTCATTGCAGTCTATAACTTCCTCGCGAGAAAAAGTAGAGGCGCAGGCACAGATAAATTCAATGAGGGAAGAATAAGTAGTTTTAGAAGGACAAGGAACTAGATCTCCATGAGATGAACCTAGAGAACAGCACTGGAAAACTGGCCAGGCATTGTACAAGAAAGCAGGATTCAAAGTTGTTCTTTTCCTTCTTGCATACATCTCTCTCCCAACACTCATTTAGATTCTCTCTACCAGTGCTCCCTGCTCCTGCCTTCCTGGACACAGCATTATGCACTATACCACTGAAGTGTCACCGGAACACTTCACAATCCCTAACCTCAAATACCCCATATCAAAATACATTATCGTGCGCAGTACTTTTAAGCAACTTGCAAAAAGTATAAACTCCAATAGACAAAATAGAGGAGAAAGTGCACAAAGCTTGCAGATGAGGGCTGGGACATAACAGGTCAAGTGGCTTGGCCAAAGACATGCAGACAGACTATGGAAAACGTGCTCATAGAATCTGTTTCTCTGAAGCTGCAGAATGAACAAGTTCATAGGACATATAAGCTATGCAGTGAACCTTTCCACACAGTTCCACCTATAGTCTTCAACAGCCAAGAGGATCTTCTGCCTTCTGTAAAAAGTAAATAATTAGTCTTATTCCCAAAAGCCATGTTATTAATGGTAATTCTCCTTCCTGGAAGAATTTAGACAATGTGTCTTTGCTCAAGAGTACTTACACCACATATAGCTCTCAATTGAACCAAGCAAGTCGGTGTCATTGAGCCCATTTTTGAGGAGAGGTAACTAAAGAGATGAAACAGTTTTTACACAGGGTCGCAAAGCCAAAGAACAGAGCATGGGCACCTCACACAGTGTCAGCTCTAATTCACACCCACCCTCCATATGTACTTGAGCCTGAAGTACGTAAGATCGACCGAACTTTGATTTTCTTTCTTAAGTGTCGAACACAATAATTAAGTTTACGTACTAGCATTACATTAAAATCCTGTGCTTTTACTATCATAAAATCTTTCCTGGATCACAGGTAGAATTACTCCTCCCTTCTCTGCAAATGCTGCACTTGTATAGACACTCAGTTGTTCATTCACAGATCCTCAGGTGACTTGCACTCCTTACAAAGAAAGAGGTATTCTTTCACCTGTCACTAAAACTTATTTGCAACACATCTTAATGCTAGACTACCAGGCACTAGCATAAGGAAATCCACACCATATGTGAAAAACTAAAAAAAAAAAAAATTAAAAAAAAAATATTTTGACAAAAAACAGGAGCCCAACAGAGATTACTGAGACAGGAAATGTTTGCATCTACAGTTAGGGATACCATAAAGGGCACTTGGTAATCCTGTTTTAAAGGTTTACAGATAAAGCCTTCACTACTGATTTCTGATACCATAAAACTGAAGCTGACAACAACAAATTTTTGATACATGAACAAAATCCCATTCTATCATTGGTAATTTACCAAATCCTTAATTTTTCAGTCTTATATGGAATTGATTTCCTCTAGGGTATGAATCTATAGGGTTTCAGTTGTGTGGACTTTTTCTCTTCACCTGGATGCTGCTGATGCTTCCTCTCCTGCTACTGTTCCGACTCTCGTCAGCTGTATTAGAATTATAGCAGATGGCATCAAAGCCCAAAATTCCTCCAATGCAGTCACCTATGAGACACACCTGAGAAAATAGAGAGATTTTTTGGGGACATGTAGCAAGTGTTTTAAAAGAAACAAAAAGCATCACAGCACTGCAGAGGAGTTCCTGTCTTACTTCGCATCCTCGTTACTGGTTTTTACACCCTTGGTTCCTCTTGCAGCTAAAAACGTGTAGCCACTTTCTTACTTTCTTCCACTTCCTTTTATCTCCAGAAATATGCCCTATGCCAAGAATATCTGTCCCAGGGGCTATTTTGACCAGTGGGAGTTCTCCCAGATGAATTAGAATTCTTCCAGCTACTTGCAGACAGATTCCAGCTCGAAAAGTTCGTATCACCAGACGACTGGTGACACAAAGATTTCCATTCACTTAACATTTCCTTGAGAGTCATAGAGGGAACAGGACCTCAACAGATTGTTACTCTCCTGTCAGGACAAGGGAACAGAACCTCAAAATGAGGTATTAAGCAGAGAGATTAACTCTTGATTCCCATTTAATATAAACATAGAAGCTACGTTCAAAGTATGACCTGGCAATTAAAAAAGCACAGAGTACTAAAATAGGGAATTCAATAGTTGGAATAATTTTATGGCACACTAGAACCTTCCCCACAAGCCAATTCCACTGAACACATGCCCAACCCATAGGAGATGATTCTTGCTCCCTGTCCCCCTGTCTGTGTCTTGAGTATGAGCAAAAGCTTGATACCAGGCTCCAGCAAAGCCTCTCTCTCCAATTCTCAAACTGAAGCCATCATCTAGTCTATTAATCCCAAATCCTTTTAGTTTCCTTAACTCATTTCTAACCTTAATTCAGCTTGGCTACAACACAAAACTATAAGTTTCAGATATAGGATGTTGTGCACTCTTTCTTCCAAGTGAAGATGTTAGGAAAAGCAAGTTCTTCAAGATGCAGGTAGGGAAAAAGCTCAAACTTATCTCAGTGCATCTCAATGTGGCACTCTTCCTGAATTGAGTATATTTCTTGTATTCAATTAAAATTATAAAAAACATTTTAAAAAATAAAATATCAAAATACATTAAAGTAACATCTATCCTAAGCTGTTTCTGATTCTAAAGTTGTATACAATTGAACAGTATGCCAATTTACTCTCTGATTTTCAAATTCCTATGCTGCACAATGAAGTCCACAAAGAACTAAAAATTGTATGATACAAGTAACCTTAATAAAACTGACAACACATTTTCTAGGGAATTGGTAATAACTTCTTCAATTTACCAAGGCATTTCTAATCCTTATTATTATTGACATTAGGTTATGGAGTTAACTTTTTCCAGATATTGAATAAAATCAAAAAGGAAATCTCTGATCTAACGAGTTTGCAACATAAACGGACAGAAGAGACCAAAATATGAAATGAAAGACACACACAGGGTGGGTGTCAGGATGTATGATATATATTTGATAAGTACAGGACTTATTTGGAGGCAGAGCTGAAATTTCTATCTAAAGAGAAAAGCAAAGCACTGTAACTGTAGACAGCACAGAGAAGTCACTTCTGTTTTAACAGTGCCAGTAATTGTTGATAGTGAAAATTCTGTGGAGTATACAGAGATCAAGCACAGTCTTTCACATGAAGTAATATATCCGATTCATAAAACACACCAAGGAGACTTCTTTGTAGCTTTGTCAAAGAAAAAACCCATAACACTAAATTTCTATTGAGAAAATTGTTTTCATATTATTCTGTAACTGGTATACTTCTTCTTTACATAATTACACTTTTTGTAATGTTTTATCACTGCAGTTGGGCTGTTTTTATGCTTCAAGCAAGAACAGTTTACTATGCATAGTAAAACTGGCTTCAACCCAAATTTTAGCCTAAAAATACTGATGTCACAGCATCATCTTATTACTGCTATGGAAAAGCATTTGTTTGTGTAATAAGACACATGGTTTCCTTCAAAGGTTACACTGTACTCTATATATTACATCTATTTTCCTTATTTTTCCTGAAGTGTGAAGGTCACTGTACTTAAAGTAAGTGCACGTTTCCGGCTATGTAGATGGCCCCATTGCAAAATAATTTACACAGAGTATCAATATTATATTCCTACATGAAGCAGGAAAGTACTTTTTTGTAGACTATAGATGGCGAAGTAGGAACAGCAACTGACACGTCAAAAGAAACCTGTGGGCGACTTCAATGGTCAGTGGGTCACAACAGAAAAATTACATGACTTTCCTCAGAGTTATACAGAAAATTTGCAGTGCTGCTGGCAACTATTTGTCTTCTATGTTTCTTTACTGTGAATTTTTTTATTACTACTGTGATGGAGGCAAAAAAGAAGTAACAATAGTTAAATGCTGGACTTCCTATGATCCTAAAGGTCCCCCAGTTTTTCCATCAGCTTTAGCAGATGGAAAAGATGTGTAAAGATCTCATTAACACTGATTATCATCTGTCTTGGGCTGCCATGCTTGTTCACTGCTCAGCATACCTCATTTACCGCACTGTAGCAACACTTAGGAAATGCTTAGGGGTCCAAATGCTTGTGGGAAAAGGTTTATAATCTTCTACCAGCTGAGTAAGTCCACATTAGAGAGGGCACAGGATTCCAGAAGTGTCTTTCTCGTGCTGGGCACTGAGAAGGTGTTTTGAATAGATGATCCTGTGCTAACATTCATTCATCATATTTGCAGCAGTATCTCACACACATAACTCAAACCCCTTAATACAATGGCTTAAAAAGAAACAGCTTGCTCTAAAGGAATTTTAATTTGATGTAAGAAAAAATAGTCCTACCTGTCCATTAAAGCCAGCCCCATCTGTAGATTTGAGAAACTCATTGTAAACTTGATTGGCTCTGCTGATCACCATGGCAACAGCATCTTGGTACTGAGGGGATGAAACAGCCAGCAAAGGCAAGGCAGCCAGTGGGATGTGGTCTTCACTGCTGCTGAGACAGCTCTCATCATAGCTGTAGGGATTTAGGCTAGAGAAAGACATGATATTATCAGGAAAACTGCAAGAGCCAGCACAGAGTATGAGAGAATGGTAATTAACAGAAACGGGTTGGGCTATTGCAAGTCACAATGAGAGAACAAAGGAAGGATCATTTTCTCCCAGAATTCAATTGCTTAAAAAAAAAAAATTGAGGAGTTACGGCTTTAGTTGAATGAGATTACACTAGAAGGCATTTCTGTAGTTAAACTACTTGATACTATTGTGCCACATATAAGCAGACATAATTTAGAATGGCAATGACATGATTACATTTTAGCCTCTTTTCCCCCCATGTAACAACTTACAACATCATAGAGAAGGATCCAACCATCACAGTGGAATACTGTTTCCTAGAACACAACTGCAACAGCAGTATTGTTTAAAAGCATATAAAGACATTTTTTCCAGTGACCCATCTTTTCAAAAAGATGAAAGAAAGATGCACATATTCTCAAATCACAGCAAATGTCTGCACAGTAGCACTTGACAAACAGGCCGTGACCCAATTGAAAATACAAGCTCAAATTTGAAGAAGAGCAGCTTTACTTTAGCTTGGATATGCATCCTGCAAGCTTCTCAGCAAATGTACCGATTAAGTCTTGACTGATTTTTACTGATGAGTGGAGAAGACAACTCAGAGAGCTAAAGATGAAAGGCACATCAGTGTGTGCCAGATTCTCCTACAGTAAATTGACTGCCTTTTGGAGATTAAAGGAAAGTTGGAAGTATTTTGGATAATTTAGTACATCTGAAGTTCATCCAAAGCCACAGGTAGGCAACTTGAACAGTATTTTGTATTCACTTTCTTTGGGAACTTCATGGGCTATCACAGTATTTAAAAATAAGCTGGCCTGAAATGTAGTTAGTCTGTGTCTTTGCTAAAACTCACATTCCTGAGACTATTACCAGGGTAACGGAGGAAGAATAGAAGATTTGCCGGTGTGTGCTATGTCCCAAGTCTCACTGGTCTTTTCCACACTTGCCTCTGGCTGAAGCACTCCAATGATATGATATTTTTCAACTGAAGTAGTATAACAGTTTCTGTGTCCTTGAGCTCAGCTGGTCTGCCAAGCTCTATCAATTAAAATAGCTTCATTTTACCAGCTGATTAGATCATCCAAATGCACAGCAGATATACAGTTATGAATACTAACTCTCAGAAATTAAAACTGAACCTTCAAAACCCCCCAAAAAAGTTTCATTTACTAATAAAATCGGCAGATAATACCTCAGAAAGGGAAAGGGACAAACATATGAGGGGAAAAAAGCTTATTAAATGAATGTTTGAAATGGCACAAAATACCTGCATATGTTTTCATAATAAAAATAAAATGCAAACAATATTCAAAAGAAAATCACACAAACCAGAGCTGATGGAAAAGTAAAAAAAACTGGCAATGTATTGTTTTTTTCCCCATAGCTAAAGCAATATAGATCAAATTGAAATAGAGACAATTAATCACCGCTAACTGGTTTAGAAATGACAGTGTGTGTTTTTTTTAATTCCAATGTATTTCATTGTAAATGTTTAGCCACAAAGACCTCCATTGTTATAGCAGACAAACAGAAAGAGAAGAAACATCCAGACCACTGAAAGAGTGTATGGAAGAGATGAAGTTGTTTGTTGGAGTGGACATGCTCCTGGAAAAGCTGGCGGCCCACAGCTTGGACAGGGGTACTCTATGATGGGCTAAGAACTGGTTGGAGGGCCAGGCCCAGAGAGTGCTGGTGAACAGTGCTGCATCCAGTTGGCAGCCGGTCACCAGTGGTGTCCCCCAGGGATCAGTGCTGGGCCCAGTTCTGTTTGACATCTTTATCGATGATTTAGATGAGGGGATTGAGTGTACCATTAGCAAATTTGCAGATGACATCAAGTTGGGAAGGAGTGTCGACCTGCTGGAAGGCAGGAGGGCTCTGCAGAGGGATCTGGATAGACTGGAGATGGTTTGATTCGAAGGGGATGCGGTTCAACAAGTACAACTACTGGGTCCTGCACTTTGGCCACAACAACCCTCTGCAGCGCTACAGGCTGAACACAGAGTGGCTGGAGAGCAGCCAGGCAGAAAAGGACCTGGGAGTTTGGATTGACAGGAGGCTGAACATGAGCCAGCAGTGTGCCCAGGTGGCCAAGAAGGCCAATGGCCTCCTGGTCTGGATCAGGAAGAGTGTGGCAGCAGGACTAGGGAAGTGATTCTTCCCCTGTACTCAGTGCTGGTGAGGCCACACCTGGACTACTGTGTCCAGTTCTGGGCCCCTCAGCTCAGGAAGGATATTGAGGTGCTGGAACAGGTCCAGAGAAGAGCACCCAGGCTGGTGAAGGGACTCAAACACAAGTCCTATGAGGGGAAGTTGAGGGAGCTGGGGTTGTTGAGCATGGAGAAGTGAAGGTTCAGGGGAGACCTCATCACTCTCTACAGCTACCTGAAAGGAGGCTGTAGCCAAGTGGGGGTTGGTCTCTTCTCCCAGGCAACTATCGGTAAAACAAGCAGGCACAGTCTTAAGCTCTGCCAGGGGAGGTTTAGAGTGGATATTAGGAAGAAATTCTTTACAGAGAGGGTAATCAGGCATTGGAACCCATCCCTGGAGGTATTTAAGAAGAGACTGGATATGGCACTTAGCGCCATAGTCTAGTAATGATGGTGGTAGTGGATCAAGGGGTGGTCTTGATGATCTCAGAGGTCTTTTCCAACCCGGCTGATTCTATGATTCTATGCTGAGTATTAGTGCTGAAGCTGAGATAAACAGGTAAAATATCAGTGCTGAAACTCAAAAGAGCACAAATCTTGTTATCTTGAAAATCACCAGCTTGGAAACATGACGCACAAAGGCTGGACTTGAAATCACTGAGTGTAAGAGTCTGACAGATAAAGTCACCAGTGTTAGAACCCAACACCTCACTGATGAAAGGTACCAAATGACTCGGCTGCAAGACAGACCTGGCCTTCCATGGTGGGTAAGAGCATGCACGGCTTCCAGGGAAGAAGAGACTGACAGCATCTCTAGCAGGGATAACTCAGACTGCACCATGGAGAGGGGGTGAGAGGAGCAAGCAGAGGGAGAAATCACCCATATGGTAACATTTGTCTGGATAACTATCACACAACATTTTTTTTCCAGTTATGCTTTTGGTTATCTGCATTCCATGCTGACAGTCCTGGGGACTTTCTATTGCTGTTTCTGAATGCTAGAATATGCATTTACTTCCTCCACTTTCAGGATAAAAAAACCAACCAAACAAACAAAAAAACCAAAAACAAGAAAGAAGAGCATAAAACATGTTTTGTTTTGGCTTTTTTTTCCTTCTCTCTCCTTCCCATTCCCTCTAAATTTGCAATGATTATCCTCCAGTTTAGAAGCTCTATTCTGAGGTGTGAAACAATGTATGCTCATCAAATCATATGCTATAAAAAGCATAACAGTTGATCCACTCTGGGATATTTTTCTGCCTGAAAAGGGAAGACATGGCTTGAAAGTCATCTATCTGGAACAAGAATGTGCCTTAGTTTTAACCCTTTTTTGTTCTTAGCCATAAAGATAGAGCCAAGTGTGACAGCAGATCAATTACGAATTGTAAATTTATACAGGTTACATAAAGAATGTGTTTTTGATTTATATGAGAGACAGAGGAACCTGAAATGATGAGAGTAGATGAGAAAAGATCAGTTTAAGCAATCTGAAACATTTACTACATGGAGTGATTTTGCCCTGAAAGATCCCTCTCCTTTAAGCCACTATTTGCAAGGCAGAGAGAACTGCAAAGGTACATTCACATAAAAAGTTCCAGTGGAATCCCTCTGAACCTGGTCACTCTGCACACAAGGCACAGCATAATTCAAAACCTATGCCAAGGTAAAAACCAGGTTGTACTACCCTGGCACACACTCATAGTGTATCTTCAGAAAACAGAGGCCACATTCAAAACAAAAAAGAAATCTTGTACTGCTGCTTAGTCAGTCATCTGGCTCACCCTCAGTGAAACACTACAGAAATTAAAATTACCCTTCCTCCACCACAGTTTGCTAAAGGGAATGTTTACAACAACTTTTATGTTCCACAACTGCATTCTGGAGTTCTGGCTATGAAAGCTGCTAGCATGAAGCTGCAGAAATGTGAGACCAGAGAATTGTCTCTCTTTCTGTCAGCCCCAAATAGGTACGACAAGCAGCTCCGCACAAGAACATAACACTGCAATATCAATGTTATGCCAATGCCCAGAATGATTCTATAGGAAATTCAAACATCCAGGATGGTGTTTTTCATTCTGTTTGGACACTGTGTGCTGCAACAAGAGGAAATAAAGAAACAGAGGTAGAAAGTCAAAGCTGTGTTCATTTGGGTTGCCAGCACACACTCTTCTTTCTGCTCTAGCAGCTATTCCTCCAGATAGCTGAGACCTGCAGGCACTGCACTATGGTGTAACAAAGGGACACTGAGTTCTTCGAGTGCATGTAACTCTCAAGGGGTACAGAGGAAAAAAGCTTGTTAAACAATGGCCCAAATGGGCAAGGGTGATCTTCCAAACACTCCTCCGTGTTTCACCTCCTCTTCTATCATTCCTCTTGCTTTACAGGGCAGCACCTTGGACACGCACACACTTCTTTCCTGGTTGTTTCCATGTATTCCCCCCTGATGCCAAGAGTCAGGCACAACTTCAATCAGTCTGGTCTGCACCCTGACACCTCTTCCTCCTATAGGCCTGTGACAGCTTTAAGTCCAGCTAGTACTTCAGAACTTTCATGTATTCTCCATCTCTCCTGTCTGACATCTGGACAGAAGGTGTCACCATTCCTGGATCTTATGGCCCAAAATATAGTTGTAGACCTCCTCAACTCTTCTGCAGGGTTTTCTGCTCTACATGAGCTTCAAATGTAACCCTAGGCACTATACTGCAACAAAAAAGACTGTAAAAGCAGTCTTTTAGACTGGGTTTTGTCTGGGAAGCCCCAAACAAAACAAAGGAAATTTTCTTTCTGCTTAGAAAAAAAGAAATCAGGAAAATGTTTGCTTCCTCCTCTCACCAGAGTTCACCAGTTAATTCTAGTTTGCACTTGTAGAAGAGTTGAAGCAGTCCCAAGAGCATGTGTTTCTTTCTTCCTTCTCTATCATGCCGTTGAAAGTACTTTTGTCAAGGAAAATATCTCTAAGGCAAGAAATATTACCTGAAAACATTCTCTCATTTAATGAGTGAATTCCAAGACCCAAAAAGCATGTAGGAAGAGCAGCTACTGAAGCAGATACATCCAATAATAAATGTTTTTTAAAACAAATTTATCCACTTAGAAAAGGATGAAAAATTATTCCAAGTCTTGCAATCAGAAGAAGATTAAGAAGGATTTGCAAGACTTCATTATGAAAAAGATGGGTCACAGAAAGCCATTCAAAACCACAATGCAAAGCCAAAAATCAGGAAATGCAAATCAACTTACTTGGAAACAAGAGAGAAAGCTGCTGAACAGATTGCTGGGCAGGGAACAAGTCTCATTAAGATATGGCCCAAAGAGGCAGGGAAATGGGCTCGGGTGACCTTCTCAAACACAGAACTGAAGGTGTTGATGTCTGCCAGCTTGCTGCTGTGGTCACCACCTGCAGTGTCTAAGATGTTCCCTCCATGTAGGATCAAAATTAACACATGAGTTTTGCAGTTCTGGTGTTGAACTCCTTCCTGTAAGAAGAACAGGAAATAAAAAGGGAGGAAGCATTTTTATGGACATTGTTGGTATACCTGGTGTCACCATGAGCAGTGTTTTTTTTTCTCCCACACCCACTGTGATGGTTTTGTATATTTGCCTTCACTGGAAGGGCGGGGTGGGGGGTGTGCATATGTGCATGCCCCACCATCCATTTAATTCAAGTATGTCTGACCCACGTAGAGCCTACTGCTCTGACAGAAAACCTCTGCAGCACAGATGTAGGTTTCAGATCAACAAAGATTAAAACAGCTTTGTGTACTTCAAACACTCTGAGACTGGAGAAGAATTTTAACCTCTGCAGGCAGTCTAAGCAATCATCTGTCTAGGTATCCCGAACGACTGCTTCATTTACTGGCAAGGTTGTCATTCAAATCATCAAAGGTTCTAAAAAGCCAAATTTCTCTGCCAATGAAAACATCCAGGAAAAGCAGATGATACAGCTATCTCAGCCTCTTGAGACTGGCAGCTTCCTATTAAAATGAAAGATGGGGGCAATTTACCCAGACATTTATTGAAAAAGTAAAAAGTTTATCATTGCTGATACCCATAAAACTCACCAATAAATTTACAAATATGTGAATATGCACAGACAATAATTAGCTACATAGAATAAACAAGGTATTTTCTACTTAAGACTGGAAAAGCATTTTGAATGTCTCACAACTCCACCTTTTTTTCCTCTTTATCCCTTGAGAGTTATGTGCATTCAAAGAACTGAGTAATATATTAAAAGATTAAACTTTTTGTTTTTAAATCTTGACTGTCATTTTCTTTTCACTTTGGATCACACGATTCCTGACAACTTCTAGTTCCTGACCAAACACAAACACAGAACTCAAACAACAGTAATATTTCTTGTACTTGTCTAAGGACTGTTAATCACTAGATTGGGTGATTCCCTGAGAATCAGGCAATGTTCTGGACACTTTATTCTTAAGTTCTGGAATTAAGAGAAATTGGTAACTTTAGCACTTGTATAATGGTGACAGAGAAATGGCTGAAAACGAGAGAATTGCAAGTTATTCCATAAAGCCACTATCCCTGTTCAGTCCACGAATTTTAGCATTCAGCAGAAGTATTCGTTGTGAAGGCATTTTGCTCACTTGACTTATATCTGCTTAAATACAGGATCATATAAGCCTTTTTAAGGTTCCACTTTTCCTTGCACTCATTTACAATTTCCTTCTCCATATGGTTCCATTCCAGTTATTCAGAAGAGAAATTTAGTTCCCTTTAAAAGGTAAGAGAAATTCCTTCCACAGCCTGCTTGCAAATAAGCAGCACTGCTGATGGGTTGGTGGGACTGAAAGTTTCAAAACAAGTCTCTCAGCTGGAGTTAACTAGTATCTTTCACAAAAGACCCAAATGGAATGCAATTAATTTGCCTCTCAGCAGTAGCTCAGTCATGACTGAGACAAGGGGCTCAAGGGCTAGTCAACTGGACATCTGATGTCAATCAATGACTGTCATAATTTTCAGTAGGAGTGGAATTCTTCAAAAATGTAAAAGCAGACATTTCCACTACCTGTCCTACATGTGGACAGAGGACCTTAATCAGTTTGTTGGAAGGACCACAACTTGTTTAGATTCTTTCCTGCTTCTGAAAAAAGGCAATTGTTTTATTAGCAAATTCATGAGTGCTGCTGAATCTGCTTCAAAAACCTGCATTTCCACTCAAGCACTAAGCGGATATAACAATTTCTCTTCAGAGAACTGGGTCATATTTCCACCTAAGTTAAGTATTTCCAATGTCTTAAAAAGGTTGTGATGATTTTCAGTGATTGCACGTGCACCTACCAAACAAGGGAAAGACACACTAAGCCATCAAACGAGTTTATAATTCCATAATATGAGAGTATTTCCCCATGTCTAATCTTCAGAAATCACAGCTTGTGTTAGGAAATAATCTTACCTCATTGTCCTCATGTATTTCAACACTACCTTGTGCAGGGAACCTTTGTTTTCTTAAAGAGGCTCTATATAATTCACCTGAAAGGAAAAGAGGCATATTCATCATATAAATATTTGTCTACCACATCTTTTACAGACAATTACATGTAAGGCACATTTCTAGTTTCAAGACAAAAAGTTCCATTCATAGGAAATCCTGTGGACAAACAGAACAATACACAATATTAGAGGCTCTTCTATTCTTAACAGCAACATTTAGAACAGGATTCAGGTCCTTATACTGAGGTGTGTAGTACCAGCACAGCTGCTGTTGATCTGTGCCTTTCTGAAATAGCAGCAGAAGAGGTCACCTGAGGTTCTGCTCATCCCAAACAGCTATCTTAGGTACTCTGGTATGTCTTAAATAGTACTAAACACCTATATATAGGCAAGTGAATCAAGCCTTTCAAGTTCTGCAAAGATCTCCAGGATGCAGTTCTTCAACAAACCTCTGTGACTACCTAGGGAACTCCATTAAGTAACTGCAGTGCTCCATTACCATGATGCAAAATAGGAGTAACAGTCCATAGAGCAAAAGACAATTTCTCCTCAAAAAGTCCTGTAACCCAAAAAACAGGAAGAGATATTTCAGAGAAACACATTCCTTTCCTAGTATCATTTCACAAGATCACGCATGCAACATCCTCAATTATAAACACAACAATGAAAATGAAACCACAATGAAAGTCTCTGCACTGACTTCAGAGCATGACCAAACGTGGACCAAAGGCCCACTTGTCTGCTCTTTGGGCAGACAGGCTGGGAAGCTGCCTGCTCTAAGCAGTGGAACGTTTCTGATATCAGCTTTAAGACCATGAGATTTTCCACTGTCTTGCCTCAGGAAACAAAACTTAGGAAGCTTTTCTTTGCAGAGAGTGTGGTCAAACACTGGAAAAGGCTTCCTAGAGAGGTGTCAATGTCCCAAGCCTGTCCGTGTTTAAGAGGCATTTAGACAATAATCTTAATAATATGCCTTTACTTTGGGTCAGCCATAAAGTGGTTAGACAGTTGGACTACAGGATCAATGTAGGTTCCTTCCAACTGAAAATTTTCTATTCTGTTCTATAACTTCTATAACTGGCTATGAAAAGGTTTGCCCTCTGAACAAAACTTCTCTGTGCTTAAGGGCATAGAAATTGATATAGCACTATCCACTTTTTCTGTTTTGCACTGTATTTTTTCAGTCATTGAAGAGAATTACTACAGGCTCTTTCTGGTCTCCTCATAATGCAGTATTTTTTTCTACCATTGCATGTTACCTGGGAAACAGCTGTAAGATGAAATTTGATTAGCAAATGTTGCAGTGGTCAGTTCCTTGGGAAGAGCAAATGTGCTTTACTCTTCTGTCAACAGTGATGGAATTCCATACAAGATGCTAATTCTATCCCTGTAACAACTCCTCCTCCCTCTCCTGTGGGGAAGAGGAAGGCTTTGAAACCATCCTGAATCATGATAGCAGAAATTTGTCATTCAAAATGTCAGCTGACTGCAGTGTTGCAGACTTAAAATTCCACTCATCTCACAAAGATTAGCTGTTCCTAGAGAAACTGTAAGGCCTTGCTCCCTCTATGACAGATACAAGTTTTAGGAGTATAAGAGAGAGGATTGTACTAAATAATAATACAAAGTACATAACAGACAGCTTTTGAGGTCTAGACACCTTTTCCTCTGTTTCTTCCAGCATGCCAGAAGAAAATGAATACACCCCATAATGCTATAGATGACTCAGTTTACTTTTCCTTGGCATTTGGAGTTCATACCCTCTTTGTGGTTCCACTCCATCTGTTTACAGGTACTCTGCCAGACCCTAAGACAGTGTTCACCAAGGACATTGCTTAAGCAGGGTCTGGTCAGGTTATTCTAAAAGCACTGAATTAAGTCCAAAACAAATTTTGAACACTCTACTCTTCTGCGCTAGGAACAGGTTCTACCAATATCATTCCTTAGAGCCACTGGAAATTTATTTAGCCTCTGTGTCTACATTTCTCCATATTTAAAATTGAGGTAATTATTCTTGCCTTTCTGACAGGCAAGGATTTAATGTATTGGGCATTCAATACGTCTATAAAATAAAAGGGTACCATAACAAAAAACAAAATACCGGAAAGCAAACCTAACATACACCCATAAACCCTGAGCTTCCACCAAATGCAATTGCTTTCTGGAATTCTCTGCAATTTAATGCTGACCTCATTATTAAAAAGCTATGACTACAGTATGAAATCTGTAAGTTCCATTTTTTGGAAGATCATCAGTTGACGCCATTTAAAACACCAGGCTGCATTATAAAACCCAGCAGGAACTATTGAGCATTTTTTTTTAAGGACTATGTATCGGTTCATTGAGAACCACACTATGTAGTCAAATGGCTCTTTGCAACAAGTGGTATCAAAACAAATTAACATGAAATAGGTGAGTAAAACCAGAAAGTGACACTTGCCTACTGCTTATCAGATGCTGAACTACAAGGACGACGGCATACAGTCCTAAGTTAAATGCAACCCCAATACAGAAACTGCTTTTCAGTCTAGGAGTCAACAGCCAACAGTCAACAGGAAAGTGGCTGTCATCTAAGCCAATTATTTTACGACAAGGGAAGAGATTTATCAAGCATTTCTGCCAACAGAAACATACGCTGCTACCGCAGACACCACCAAGCCAGTGTATCTGGCAGGGATTGTTTTAGACTCAAATTCCCACTGGAATTGCTACATAAATATATATTTATACACACACATATACACATTCACCAGTGACTTAGGTACCAAGCAAGTTGTGTGTTTACAGCCTTGCCTGAAGTAACTCATTGCCCAAACAGTCTCCCTATGATCATCAGATCTCAACATCAGCACTAGAGGAGAGCCAGGTGAAAGGAAAAGCTTGGACAGTGATTCAAGGGCAGCCATGAAAGGCATCAGTTCAATACACAACCAAAAAAGTAAGTCCCCTGAATCTAGGAGAACAGAATTCATATGATCATTCCCAAACTTCTGAGATCATGAGGTACAGTTCAAATGCATACTAAGAATCAAGCTAGGTCCTCTTTTTTTTTTTTTTTTCCTCCCACAGACCATTTCAAATAACCCTAATACTTTGTCATATTAATTAGGGAAAAATTAAAGGTTAAAAAAAAAAAAAAAAAAAAAAAAAGAACTTGGTTTAGCTACAAAGCATAAGGTGCTAATAGTCCCAAAAGAAAACTGCTATTCCCATGATTGCGCTCTCATGGGAAATGATGCTGTTTCTTGCCATCTGTTGTGCTATTACTAGTCATTCATAATGATAAATCCATCATAAGAAATATGTTCACATGAAGGCTGTGACATATGCTTTCTATTGACAAATGATAAAGAATACTGTAATACACTGCAGATGCAGTTTTGCAAACTGCACTGTTTAGCGGAAAATAATGGCACGTGTCACCGAGCCCTATCCTGCTCTGGAAGCCACGAGATGGTGCCCACGTTAACTTCCATGATTTCTTCACTGAATGAGTCTTGCACACATATGCTACCAGATCTTGTACATGACTACTACAGAGCACTAGAGAAGAAGAAACACACAGGGTGAGCCAAGGATCTTAACTACCAGTGCTCTCCAGCTCCACTTATCAGACCAAGCCAGATGGGAAAAATATGATTTCCAAAAGGGAAGGGGTTGGCACAGAGTGACAGCATGTGCTTGTAAACACAGCTGCAGGAATAAAGAACAGACATTTCATTGTGAACTCTAGGAGGGCAATGGACAATTGTTCCCAAAGAGAACTGTGATGAACATTAACATCACGCATTTCTTTAAGTCAATTCCTGCTCTTTATCAAGCAATGAAAAAGCACAAAGTTCAACAGCAGAGTCACATGTAAATATATTCCCTGAAGCTGGGCACCAGCAGCGAAGGAACCCTAGCAACACCAGGCTTGGCACTACGTTTTACTCCTATAGCACTCAGAAATTTTAACAGCAACACTTCTTGCACCTCTTTAAGCAGAGACAGGAGAAAGAAGTCCAGAGAACAAAGCACTGAAGGCTCCTACACTCCATATCCAGCCATGTTGTACTGTCCTGTATGACCTATTGTGTACAGCAGCAGCTTCACCCTCCAGTGCTCTACCTCTGCCACTCCAGCCAACACTAAAAGGTACTAATGTGCTAAATAGTGTCACAGGCACTTTCTTGGTACATTTTCATAATCCACATCGAAAATAATGTAATTTAAAATAAAACTTAAAGAATCCTAGTCCCTCCACATGCATTTCTCTTCTCAAGGTAACAGATCACTTGGTTAACAAGTCTATTATATTACTATCTCTAGTTACTGAACAGCCTCAGTACAAAGAAAAACGAGAACACCTTCAACTCACGTTGTTTTTCCTGCAGAAAGCCAGATGAGCAAAATGCAGGCTCTTCACCTGCAAAAGGAAGAAACCACAATGTAAACTAAAATCACTTTACATGAACATCAAGCTCTAGTTTTTCTACTGTGTTGCAGTAAATATTTTGCAACTGACCACTATGGTGATTTCCAAAACCTCCATTGGCTTCAGTGGGAATAGCTCAGCATATGACACACTTGACAACTGTTATAATCAGTTCAAAGTGGTTAGCCTTGAAGCTAGATTTTACCTTTTATATTCAATCTATTTGATAACCTGCAGCATTAGCCACTGAATCTCTAAATAACTAAGAACTGGCATAAACTTACCTAGCAATACAAACCAGATTCCTATTCCAAATATTTAATTAGCAGCTTTTTAAAGCATGTTTCCGTCCTTCCATTCCCTCCCACAGTCCACCCCTCCAAAGAAAGTTGCAAGTACAAAGGGATTTTCTCAGATCTAAATACAAAAACCTAATAGACACAAGAATATGGGAATAAAGACCCTTTCTGTAGATAAAGTCCTCCTACAGCACTCCAGCCATTTCTACCATGGAGGGGAAACACCTTTGCCATCATTCCACCACAAGAGAAACCAAAGCCAAAAGGCATCACATCAGCCTACATCTATCATCAAAGTTGGGATGCGAACACAAGTCTCTCCATCCCTTCTCTAGATTCCTTCTTCAGAGGCCCAGCAACACTTTTTCCTGGAGTCCATCTACCCCTTGAGTATATGCACAGACACAGCATCAGCTGCTGGGGCACAGCTGACTCCACAACAAAGACTATGTTCTGTTACATTGTTTGGCAACATAGATCAGACTGGCAAACGACAAGCACCAGGGAAGCTGGTGGCACCCCACGATATGTGAATAAAACAGTGCACATGCTGCCATCGCCTGCCCACTGATTTTCTTGTGTTCAAATGAAAGCTTCTGCTCAGTGCCTTAAGAAGACTATTGGTTCTCATCTCATGAATTAAAAATGCTGTTACACTAAATGCAACTAGGGTTAATATATAAAAACTAACAATAATGTTTTACTCCTCTGATGGATGCAGCAGTACAGAATAAGAACTCTGAAACTATACTCTTTTTCTTCAGATGCCCCAGCTATTGCAATTGACTTGGTTTCTAAGAGAGTAAAAAGAAAAGAAAAAATGACAAGCTTTTAATATGCAGCAAATAAATCTGATTTAGTTCATTCTTTGTGCAAGCAGTACTTGCAGTACACTGCTGTACTTCACTTTTGAAGAATGACAATTATTTGAGTTAGCTACTTTCCAAATTTCACATACAATCTCTTTTCTTTTTCAGTTCCTCACCAGGACAATTCACAGACTCTTGTTCTGACAAAAAAGTTGAGTCACAACTGTTACCTGCTTTCAACTTACTAGGGAAGAAATTCACAGAGACAGTCATTGCTGAGGCAAAGCAGCCACCAATCACTGCCTTGGGATGAATGTGTGAAACTCTCAGGAATGTAAGAGCTAAAAGGAAAAACCAGGCCTCTATGCCAAGAGCACAGACCAGCCTTCTGAAGTGCTTGTATACACAATTCCACTAATTACAACATGGAAAACAATGTGTTTCATGAAGAAAACTCCTTCCCATGGCAGCTTTAATCGGCTGTGCAGATAGAAACTCTTCTTCTCAAAAGAAAAGACAGAAGGTGAAAACACTTCCACTACAGAACTAAAATTAATTTTTATTCGGTAAATTTATGAAAAAGACAGTGCTGTTTTTAAAAGCCTTACTAACAAATTTAAACTTTGCAATAAGTTTTTAACATGTAGATTTAAGCCTTTCAGTACGTCTTATTGTGCCTGTTCCACATTTTTCATCTCACAATAGATTTAACAGATTCTGAAAAAAAAGCCACTTCTCTGCCCTGGAATTGAAATATGATTTGCAATTACTCTATTTGCATGCTACTTAAAAAAAAAATCAGCAAGCAGCTTTTTGGGCAGTGTTGAAACCAGAATAGAAGTCACCTTACTTTCCCACAAAGGATTGGTAACACCAGTACAAACAAACATATCTATTCACCAGAGAAAGCAACTGCAGGTAAAAATAAGATTCACAAAGTTACCTTTAGTATCATGCTATGGTACATTGCCATTACACATACATGTAGATTTGCAGACCTGTAGCCATTTCACATTCATGTAGCTGTGCTCCTGAGATGTCAGAGGGCATTTTGTACAAGTCTTGTCTCTCATTGTGCTCTTGCCTGAGATTACATTGATAATGTGATCACATTGATAATGGGATCAGTGTCAGAGGCCAGCATAGTAAAACAGTTGTGTACCTCAGCACCAGGGAGGTACCAGGGTGATCGTTCTTTTCTTTCTTCCCCCACACATTCAATCTTACAGTACTGGCTACAAGAGTGCCAACAGGCTTTATGGCACATGGTTTTCTGTCTTCTAATCATCCGAATTCATGTAACAACACAACCATGCTACTGGGACAAACAATGTTCACGCTCCACTTTAGAATATGGCTTTAGCCTTGCAAGAATACTGTGAAAATTACCTTCTAAATAGAAACATCAGTTTTGGTAATGCTGTGTTGTTTGTTTGTTTGTTTGTTTAATGCCATGGCAAATTTAACACTGGTGTGAACACAGTTATGTCAAACTTGGGAAAACAAAAAGAGAGAAAAGGAAGCAATATACCTACAGATGGTATGACCCTCTGGATGAGAATGGCAGCCACAGAAAATTTACGCCCAAAGAAACTGATGCAAGAACACATGCTGATTTCAGCATTGGACCAGATCTTAATGCAGAGTGAAAAAGGAAAAGGGAGGGACTGCAAGGAAAGCAATGCTCTCTGCAGCAGGACTCAGCTCTCAGCTAAAAAAATATCTTAAGCAGCTAGTTTAAGCTTCCTCCACTTTGCATATAATGTCTGAACTGTATTCTAGAACAAACAGCATCAGAAAATTTAATTATGGCAGTTGCAAAAGCTGCCCTACTATAAACTGCTAGCAGAGATGATTTACAGAAATCCAATCCACTGCTTCTCTCTAAAACCTGCTGCTAGAAGTAAAAGCTGTTCTCTGTATGAGCCATCTGATGTGTTTTGGAATGCTGATGACTACTGTAGTTTTCATCCTTCCCTTCCACTATTCACTAAGCCAAATATTCTGTTTGCCATTCCTCACATTAATAAGCAGCAGATGCTATTGCAGTAAACTTTACAGCAGTATAGACACTACAGTTAGTGATGTAAAAATACCCTTTAATTAATTATATGAGTCCAGGAGGGCATGACAAGGAGAGGCAAATCACATGCTGCTGGGGGGAAGTAAGAGAGCAGTTTGTTTACACAGAACATTCACAGTGGACAAAATTAGGCAAGGAAGCCCTCAGAGGAGAAAGAGAGAGAAGGAGAACCACTAGTAGGAGGTAAAACTCACTGTTAGCAATCATGAGGGTGTAGAGGTTTTTGTATTATATTGAGCGTTTTGATCGTTGCATAAATATTGGAGAACCTCTGAGATGCGTGGCCAGTGTACCAAAGGGGACTGAATCAGTGAGCCAGTCAAAAATGAGACCAGATGAAGAACTCAAAGACACCTCAGTCTGCATCCGTCTTGCACAGAAACACTGGTTTCCTGTGGAAGTTTAATGGATCCAACTCAATGTAGCTCGTAATTTCAGATACTGTGGGTTAGTATCCACATTACAATTGACAAGTATCTTAACAAAAAGTCTAAACTGTGCAATGCAAAAAATTAACCATTCTCATTTAAGTGGAGAATGATAATTCACAGCCAAATTGGCATATCTGAAATATTTTCTCTGTATTCCTTTGATCTATTAAAAAATGTAACTTTTTTTTTTAACATTAGAGTTACAAAATTCAACAAAATGAGATTTGCATAGAATTAGACTGAATTATTTTATATACAGGAAATAATCAAGTGAGAAAGAAATATACATATCTGACATTATTGTAAAGGGAGATTATGCAAATATACAAATTATACGAGGAAAGAGAACGAGAAAAAAAACAATCTTTCCTAAAAAAAATTACCTTAGCAGCTGCATTCCTGCCATACTCTGCAGTTACCTCAGGGTTGATTGCTAGCACCTTAGGAATTATCCTTGCCATAAGTGCATGTAACAGTTGCACAGGGAGCTGCAGGCTCTGCTTTATTCCTAACCAAGCACCTTATGTACATATTTAAACACTGTACAATCTTTATTGTTTACTTAAAGCAAGATTAACTTTAACAGACTCTGCTCTCCATTTTACTGCTGTAAGTCCAGTTTATTCAGTAGGGTAACTCTTTACAGTAGTCTTTGCCAAGAATCAAAACATACTGGTGTCAAAAAGTGCTGCAAGTACAGGATGTCTGCTGCACATTTCCTGGAAGCATAAAAATGCTGTAGTAATGCTTGCTTCAAATTAAGTGTGAAATATAATAGTATAACTGTATGGTGCTCGTAGTTATAGAACAGTAGAATCATGGATCGGGTTGGTTTGGAAGGGACCTTGAAGATCACCGAGTTCCAACCCTCTGCCATGTAGTCATATGGTTTAATTTTAGGTAGTCCTGTGAGGAGCAGGGAGTTGGACTTGATCCTTACGGATCCCTTTCAACTTGAGATATTCTATAATTTCATAAGTTAGCTTACTCCACAGATGTATATCAATCTTAACCTTGATCAAAAATGTTATTCTACTCTTCCAATTCTGTTCAGTGCCTTGTGGATATCATGACAGGAGAACAGACAGAGCAGTTGAGGAAATCAAGAGGAAATTGCCCCTGACACCTCTTAAAAACAGGTTGCTTCACATATAAACCAGTCTTTTATTCCCCCTTAACAATATGGGAAAGATGAGATCCAAAAGATATGATATCATGCAGCAAAAAAAATCATCCCTCAGCTATGCACTTGCTGTACTTAAAAATCTCAGGAAATATTTTTAAAGGGGAGTTACAAAGAATAGCTGGAATGGTGGGGAGTCATAGTGCATGCCACAAATTCAACAGCATTTTATGGTCTACTGTGTAA